GTTTTCCTAATTTCTATCTATTTACATTCTCACTGACATCCCGTCACACTTTTAGCTTCTCTCATTACTTGGAATCTCAGAACAGCAGAGATTTCCTATGCCTGAAGAAGGGTGATTGTGCCCAAAAGCTTGCTAGAAACTTTTTTCCAACTACTCAGTTGGTCTTATAAAAAATACCACGTCTACTCAAAGAACCGTGCCTGCCTATGTCTTTAGACCAACATGGGTACAACCCAAAATCCAACAGCCGGACTACAGGTTTTTCATGTTTACAAATCATGTGCTCTCAATCTAAAATGACTCAATTTCTATCCTGAAAGTAAGAACAAAGCAAAGATTAAGGCTTGTTCTTGTTTTATCTCTACTTTCTATGTCTGTGTAACAAAACCCACCATTAGGTTCCTGCTAAGCCATTTAATCTTCATTCAGGCAAAAAAAAAAAAGCCCAGCAGCTGTAATGAACACAGACTTTCAGGACTGAGTAGAAGTAAATTCAAGCATCAGATCAGGTCCCAAGCACTTTCACAATGACTGTGGATATGGAGGGATTCCTGTTACTTCTGCTTTAGGAATTCCTTGCTTTGTGGGAATTTCTTGTCACACAAAAGATTGAGCAACAGTGCTGAGTACCTACCTGCATCACCTTCAGTGTATTTTCCAACAGCTAGCATGTATTTTTGAGATTCATCTAAAACCTTGAATGTTTGGTATTTGGCAAATGCAGACTTATTATCAAAATCTGTGAGGTCAATGCGAAGTTGAGTTATCTCTAATGAAAGAAATTGAAAGATAGAAAATAGCCGATCATATTCCATCCTCATTTTGCATCTTCAGAACTTTTTTGGTCTACCATAACTGAAGAACTTGGTCCAGTATTGGAGCACTATTTTTCATGCCTAACAAATACACCCAACCAAGCAGTACTCTTCCTATTATTTGTGACACCAACTTTTCCTCCTTTCCACTAGAGTTTTTCTTCACTTTGTTTGCACTGACAAACTGCTGTACACCCATTCCTGGTTCCACCTACACTTTAGTAGTACCACAAGAACTGACAAGAAAAAACCCTCTGAAACCTTTCCTACTTGAATTCCAGATGCTACACTCAGATGTGGTCTCATGGAGTCTTACTCAGAAGACTGCCCTGACCACAGGGAATGCTGCTCATGTGTGGACAGTGTAATATGAGGGAGTGGCTGGGAAAGGGCCAAAGCATGAGCATCTGGAAATAAAGCCCTCGGAAGGCAATTTCAGCATTTCCTAGTGTATTTCAGACCTTTGTGTTTGCCAAAGCAACACAAGGAACAGGAGCCTATACACGACAGCTCGTATGTCTTCAGCAGTCTGTGTTCTGCAGTCCGGTTAGCTAAGTTCTCTGTGCTTCTTAAATGGGACAATATGGGACTACATGAGACGCCGACTACACAGTAGCCTAATGATACTATGCAGTAGTGCATCACAGCATAGGCAGTGCTAATATGCTACCGTGCAGTTTTATTAGGTTACTGTGCAGCAGCATCACTTAAAAGAATTTAACTAGCACTGCTGCACAGTAACTCCAGTTACTATACGCTTATTTGTTTCTTGCTTATACAAGTAGTAAATAAATTTGCAGTAACCATGTATAAAATGTGCAGTAAACTAATCACCTAGCCAGGGTCATTTGACCCCAGTACTCTTTCCTGCCATGGCAGGGGGTTGGACTTGATGATCTGCTCA